GCACTCAAGAATGCCCGACCAGATGGCGCAGTTGTCGTGACAACGCCCCAAGAAGTGGCGCTAGCTACCATTCGTAAAGAACTCAACTTTTGTCGCAAAATGGATGTCAAAGTTCTAGGCATCGTGGAGAATATGAGTGGTTTTGTTTGTCCTCACTGTCAGGTTGGTACGCACAAGTAATACACATGTAGAAGGGTTCCTGTTGGACAATGTAGGTTAAGATTGAGGTGCTATAAAGCCCAGTTAACTCCAACTTACTAAAAAGATAAAAAGCAAGCAAGAAAGGACAAAAATAGAGACCTTTAGATTCGAGGACGAAGACGACTACTAGTTCGAGATTTTACTTTATTTATTTATTTTTTTCGCTTATTCTCAACATATAGACTTTTCGAAAAGCTTCATTTTACCACTTTCCACTAGAAAAGTTTTAGGACTGTCATCTTTAGTGAAAGAGGTTATGTCGCCTCCCGATCACAAATCAAACTTCTAACACTTGATATCTTGTTTCCGCCACTTCGACATTCTCGCTAAAACTCGAAGTAGAATGAAGACGGCTACCACGTTTTCCCGCCAAAATGACGCTGGTTCACGCGCGAGCACTACTTAGTATTGAGAAAATCTCGTACCCGTAGTCTTACTCGTCTTAGAATCTAAAGGTCTCTAATCAAACGAAAGAAAACATCGAGATAGCAAACCGTTAACAGGCCTTTGTCACTAGGATACTGCTGTTCTAGGTAAACTCCTTGCTGAAGTCATGGTTTAACCGTGCCTTTACCCATACACAAAATGTTCATGCTCCGTTAACCGACCTTGAGCCGAAAGTATGGTGAATATCAGAATATGTACCAGTTGTGTACACGAATCGAACAGAAGAGGGGAGGTGTTCCAGACAATCTAACTTTCCGGAGATAGCCTATTGCATGCACTTTTCGGAGATAATTATAATCTATTGCATGCAGTTCCACGTTAGCACTAAGAGATTTTCGTGTACTCTGGGAAGCGAAGTGCATACTGCAAATTTTAAGATCAGACCTTGCGTCAGTTCACGTCGCTTACAAAAGGAAGAGTGGAAAATTGTAAAACTGTCATCCCCAAAAATGGTCGCGGTTGCTTACGAGAGGTGGTCATTAACGCGTGGTTCTAACTTCAAGAATTTGACTGGCAAAATTTGGGGGTTCAGCATCAAAATTTTCCGGTCAAGTGAGCGAGTGATAGAGGGTCTCTTATGGGAAGTGGTCGCTTATCAGAGGTGATGGCATATGGAAGTTCGTCTGTACTTAAAGTCAGGATATACGTAGATGAATGTGAGGATCTTAACCTGCAAATAATAATAATAATAACTTTATTTAATAATAATGATAATAATGATAATGATAATGATAATGATAATGATAATGATAATGATAATGATAATGATAATGATAATGATAATAATAATAATAATAATAGAGGCTACCTCAGTCTTTTCGCGATATGATCGCTTACTGGCTCTATGTATACAGTTCATTACACACTTCTAATTCATTAATTCCATTAGGAAAGAAATCGCTTGGTTTATGTATGCTTTTTGTGATCCTTATAATGACGGACACTTTGTTTGCTTTTCTTAGGAATGCTCCAATTTATTTTCAACTGGTGGGGCTGGCAAACTTGCTGATGAATTTGGAGTCAATTTTCTTGGCAGTATCCCACTTGATCAGGTAACAAACACTAACTCATATAACACAGGTAGAGCAGCCTACACTACGAGGTATATAAGGACCTAAGTTTACCGAAACTGCTTTGCGCCCCACGCAAGAAGTGAAGTCAAACCAGTAGTTTTATATAGGTTATTACGCGCTCAATGCACGTTCGCTTAAATGCGAATGTTTAATAAGCGCGGTCACTCTTCATTACGGCGTTCCCTAAATTGCTGGAAAACTAAGCATTAAGCCGTTGCGGCCAGCGGGTATTGTGTAGTCCTGGATCAGTAAAAATGTTGGACATTAAGTTGAATAGCAGTAAGCTGATTTGCATCGCCAGTAGACTGAATAGATGAATGAATGAATGAATAAACATAATTATAAGTAAGTAAATCAATCAATAATAAATATAGTAAAAATGGTCCCAAAAGAAACACCTTTGTAATCAGTGCGGACACATTCCTCGGTCCTTGTTTTATGTTCGTATGATGGAAATTTATACCCCTGCGGAAATCTACTCAGGTGTTTTGTTCTCAGTTGTTCTTTTCATACCTTCGCTTTCCACAGAATCTCTGTGTTTGCTGCGAACAAGGTTCAAACATTTTTGAATCCTTCCCGGAATCACTTGCCGGGCAAGCTCTTCAAAGTATAGCTTCAGAATTAATCAGAGCATTGGGAGAGAAGTGACGTCATAATGACAGTGCAGCCGTCAACCAGAAGTGATAGTCGATCACGATTACCTGTCACCTTACGTGCATGCGCAGTTCCATGTACTTTTCAAATGGTTACTCCATGGTTACGAAACTCTCCCTTTTGTCGATTTATTTACACATGGATTGAAAAAAAATCAGGCGCTCAAAGCGATCTAGATCAAGTACCCTCGAATGCAAGTTCGACCCATGCAACTTCCTAGCAATGATCCCGTCGCAACCACCCTGAAACGGTTGAGAAACCGTGCACTTGCTGATGGCAGGGTAATAGCAACGAAGCTTCTCATTATGGAGCGCTGGAGTGGAACAAAAAGCAACCACTCAGACACCCGACCGCCAGGTTCACGAAATTTCCAAAAGGTGATATTGAGAGAATCTAAGAAAGGGTGTTTGTGTCTCGAATTACGGAAGCCGAATTGAATAAATCATAACATATGAGAATCGAGTTTTATTAAGAGTATTGTTCTGATATTGATTAACGATAGATAGATAGAAACTTTATTAAAGTGTCAAAGCCGTCTAGCCAGGGAAAAAAGAATCCCTTACTAATTTGGGGACACCAAAATACACGTTTTCTTGCTATCAAGTACAATGTAAACGAAGGGTGAGCGCATGAGCGCTTGCGGGTGTCCCTTGTTACTTTCATCATTATTGCTGAGCTGCTCAAACGTGACTAAAATGTCAGGTGCACAAGAGACTAGCATTGCCCAAAAAACGAAAGAAATGTTAGATAACCTTGTGGAACTCATTCAAACTATTCCGACATCATCTTACACAGCAGGACTAGGTGTTCACATCAAACGAAGCCAACATGTCGCAGCATAGGTGGCCCAAGCTCACAAGCTAGAATTGCTGTTATACAGTCGAACCTGTATAAGCGGCACCGTATTAAGCGGTCACCCTCCATGAAGCGTTCAGTTTTCAAAGTCCCGAAAATTACTTCTCTTGATGTACTGTAATTTCGACCTCTTTTAAGCGTTCACCTCCATTAAGCGGAGTCCCAACGAGACTGTTCTTATTGTCTTAACCTGTATTAAACGGTCACACGGTGTTCATACAGTTTCAAATAATGTAACACACGAGCTACAACAATTGATTTACTTGTTTATTTTCGCAAACCATTAAAACGCCGGAAATAAATGGTTCTATTTGAGGTCAACCGTCTGTTCTGATCAGCAATGGAGATCTAATTCTTTGAACTGTGTTTCTTGTAACCTGTACCCGAGGGTGACCGCTTAACCCTTTAAGCCTTAAGAGTGATCAGCATCAAATTTCTCCTTGTAATATCAATGCTTTGTAAAACAGAGTGGTCATGAGAATTAAGGACATTATCACACAAGAGAATTTGTTTGATATTTTATCAACTTCTCCCCATTACTTCTGCGGGAAATGAATCGGGGCAACAAATGAGAATTCAAATTTTGATCTTAGGGTTTAAAGGGTTAATACAGGTTCGACTGTACGCAAGGGTTTGTTGCCACATGTAAAGTAATCTGGATTCCATCCGGGAATCCGTGAATTTTCTTTCCTTGTCAAATCCTGAATCCTGTTCTTTGGAATCGGGAATTCAGCGCAAGGAATCCTGAATCCCGCTAACGACTGGGATCCGGAATCCAGTACCGTGAATCCGGGCCGGGAATCCGGAATCCACAACTTAAAGTCCACAATCCAAGACTGTCTTGGATTACCTCGATGGAGGCGAAGTTTGTGTGGACATTTTAGCGTCCTTTATATAGGAGTCAAACACAGCAATTAAAACAGACCCAAATTTTTCACGTTGGGTCCTCTTGGCTAGGCTCTCTAAGGCTCGATTTCCAGCCGTTTTGGTTGCCTACTTTCCTTCTGAGGAGAATGCAAACTGAACTCCCACAAACGGCTTGTAATCGAGCCTAGTTCTCGTTAATCCCTATTACAATTACGATATATTACACGACAACTATTATTACTCGTAGGCTTACGCAACCTGTGGTAGCATTCATCTCTGTTTGTTGATGGTATACCGACCCCTTCAAACAAAGGCTTTTTTAACCTGTACCGTGCGCACAGTAAAGCCAGTCTTGTCATTCTAAACCAGCGATATATGCTAGCTATCATTAACCCAATGTTTGTCTGTTTTTGTGGAAACATAAACGCCCTATACCGATATGTTTATTCGCTAAATTAAGGACTTTTGTAACTTAATATAAGGGTCTTTAATCCTCTCTTTGATTTGACCTTCCGTGGTGCTGTTTACCTTTCCCCAATTTTTGACTAAATGGAAAATTTAATCCCAATTTAGATTTTACAGCTAGCGCATAATTTTTACATTGCACAACATACCACCAGGAGAAAATTGTAAGATTTGTGTGGAAATTTTATGCAGCTGCACAGAGGTGCAAATGCCTAGCGTGAAATCCCCACCAATCCACACCCCTTTATTTACCTCTACCCTTAAAAAAAAGTGTACCTCTTCCCCCTCCGGTGACTGCCACGCCCTCTGTGTATTCCTCCTCAATCAGCTCGCTTTGCGTGTCAAGCTTGACGTATCGATTGATGTGACGATCAACTTTAGCTTTCAAATCCGATCCCTAAATTCCCAAGACAATGAGGTCAAGTTGACCTTAAGAGATATTTCTGATGCTCGTGCCTCATAAACAAGATGACTTGGCGTGCAGTTTTTCTGATCGCTTTGTTTACACTCGTTGTCGAGCTCGGAAAAGCCCTCAATTGCTCCAGTAATTCCCAGGATGGAAACTACGAACCGTTTCCACGGGATGTAAGCGTTAGCCCACCGGAATTTCATACCCGCATGGAGATTAGCTTGAGCCATCGGAACGAAACCTACTTCGTGGACGAGCGATTCGACGCGAAGAAACAGAGAGGGGCGTTCACCCTGATTGCGTATCAGTACGATTGGGAGACATATTGGAACAAATTGGAGAATGAAATAGACAACGTATACACTTTGGATGACTGTTTGAGTTATAATTGGTGAGTTTAAATATTGAAAATTAATCCCTTATCTGTCCAAATCAAAGTCAGATCAAAAGTCAAATCCTTTATTTAGACACTTAACACCCAGGAGCACCAAAGTTCTCGTTAAAACGTGTACGTATGTGCAAATTTAAAAAAATGTAAAAGTATACAAGTAACCTATACATTACTACAATTAAAATGCTGACTATAAATAGATCTACAAAATGGCTAAAAGCAGAATCTAAAACTACAACTGTTTACAGAATTTACAAGCCCTAAACTTTAAGCTATGTAAGCTTTAATAGATCGCTTAAAAGACGCAATGTCTTGTGATTCTCTGACTCCACCAAAAGTATGAAAAGTGCGGTGCTATGGAATTAAGCGCGACTCCAAGTATGGCCTTCTAAACTTAAGCTACCAAAATGAGTTACATGTAAGCGAGCAAGCTAATTTCGTTTTGATTAGCTGGTAAGTCAGGGGAACATGTAGCTCCAACCTGCCATACCTGACCCCATCGCCAAGTTCTTTTTTGATACGCTTATATTGGGTGCACATTTTGAGCGATTCTAAAACCACTTTACCTCAGTCTGACAGTGTGGATAGATTGCTTTGGAAATAAATACACAAACATACTATCGAACAAATAAGAAAAACATAAAACGATTGTCAAGCAAGTATTGGCTGATGGGCTCCCAGTAACAGATAATGAAGTGGTTTCATTTGCACTGTCACGCCATAGTATTTCATCCACCTATCTTTAAGAGGGGCCGTAACGGGGGGGTCCTGCGCACAGTTCACGGCTATTAAAAATAGTAAATCACGAATCACGGCAATTAATTTTTGAGTTTCACGGTTCACGGGAAATAACATGATTGACGAGAGCGTCTTTCACAAATAAGCCTCCACATTGAGTGTTTTTACTCTATAAGGCCCACGGATCACTGCTAATGTTTCATTCGGAAGTTATTGTTTGGGGTGTTTCCATTTCACAGGTTCAAGTTCTCCGGGCAAGGAACTGAAATTGGGTAACGTTTCAGTTATTTTGGTGGGAGCCACGGTGGCCTAATGGTTAGTGCGCTGGGCTCCAGGTCGGGCGGTCCGGGTTCGAGCCTCGGCCGGGGCGCCGCGTTGTGTTCTTAGGCACTTTACTCTCACAGTGCCTCTCTCCACCCAGGTGTATAAATGGGTAGCAGCGAAATGTTGGGGGGTAACCCTGCGATGGACTAGCATCCCATCCAGGGGGGAGTAGAAATACTTCCAGTCGCTTCATGCTATAGAAACCGGGATAAGCTCCGGCCTGATGGGCCATTCTAAAGAGTAATGTTCTTCGGTCAGTGGGATTGTGACTCGTTCCTTTCCTCCGAGGAAACCAAGAGATCCAGGGGATTTGGGATCGATGAAGTAAACGACACCTTCAATTTCGCATATGGTTTTAAAACTTTTGTCGCTCTCCATAACTTTGATACTAATGCCACTGACTTCAAGCGTGAGCTTGACCATACTGATTGCGTGATCTTACATACACACGCGACAAAGATTTTGATGGTCAATGATGTCGTTGTCTTTTCTTGTTATCTAGCCCCGTGAGTCGGCTTCTGTCAAGTCTCAAATTGCCTGTTAATTGCTTTTCTATCTTCTGTCGCGTCTGTCACGTATCAAACACGCAATGTGCGCCGCATACAAAAGAGTCTTTTATACAGACTCTTTTACACGGCAAGTTGATTTTCACGTAAAAAAATTGCTGATTTCTAGTCAAGTTTCACGGTTTACGAAAAATTAAGTTATGGTTTCACGGTTTACGAAAAATAAATTTATGGTTTCACGTGTCACGACAAGCATATCATTCACGGTTCACGGATTTTAATTTATCATGATCACGGATCACGTAGAATAAAAACAGGCAATCACGTTTCACGAGAAACCCCCTTACGGCCCCTCCTTTAAGTAGTTACTACTCCTTTTCTGACAGTCTTTTAAGACTGTCAGTAAAGGAGTAGTAACGACTTTAAGATAGCAGTCGAACCTCGCTATTTCGAATTCGGTTAATTCGAAGTCCCCGCTATTTCGAAGGAAGATCGAATGCCCTTGCATTTACCCTTCCCTTTACGCTTCCGCGGTTATTTCGAAGCCCCGCTATTTCGAACTTTTTTTATTTCCCTTGGGACTTCGAAATACCGGGGTTCGACTGTATGTCATAAACATTTCATAAATTCTTCACCGTGCATCATCTGGACCGAAGCGTTAGAGATAGCAGTAGTTGTCGTGTTACTGATAATTGTTGTTCGATAATGAGGTCAGCCAGATTAGGTTGACCCATCTGTTATGCTTGTTTGTCAAAAGGCTAGCACTTAAGATCGTTTGTTAGATTACAGGCAGCCCAAAGTTGAGATATGAACACCGGCACTATTGTATAACGTTTGCATATCTCGCGTAAGGCAGCAGTTATAAGCGTAAGCAAATGCGCAAGAGTCTTAACTTGTTTTTAAACAGGTTTTACTTGTGCAAAGTTAATTTATTCTTCCAAGGCGCTCGACGGCGGTTCGATCAAAGAAGCAAACTGCCGGTCGCAGTGGTTTTTCTCCTTTCTTAGCGTAGTCTCCAGCCTGGGGGAAACCCGGCCACTGCCCGCAGGATACGTAAATCACGAAGCTTTAGAGCTTGGGTGGCCTCTGGTTAGAGTGAATGGATGGCTGGGGTTTGTCAATTACTAACCAACAAAGAAAATATTTTTATATTTTCTTTCGGAATCTGCTGCTGTCATTACCTCAAGCAACTAGATTCACGACGTTGATTTTTCCACGAGTGAAGCACGTGTTCATTGTTGTGAAAGCTGCCATTATTGTGGTCAATGTACACTTATTAATCCTCTTTGTTGTCAGTCACGTTTTAAGGAGGTTAAAACTGGGTTTCGGGACCCGGAAGAATTGTCCCATTCCCCTGAATAGAGCTTTCCTTTCAGATACAAATATTGTGTGAACATCTTTCCCGGACCAAATTTTTTGTTTCCCCGGAATGGAGGTGTCCCTTAAATAGATGTGTCCCAAAGAAGAGGTTCCACTGTAGTACGCGTACGATTGCCAAGACTGTAGGATACTGAAAACACCTTTTCTTGCTTGAAGTTAGGCTAACGGTTAAGCTTAAATACAGTCGAACCTCCACCAAAGGTCACCTCTCTACAATGGCCACTTTCTTCTCAGGGGCACCCAACGAGAACATGGCTCAAAACTATTTAAAAATAGCATTGTTAAACGTATTTTAGTATTTAAATGGTAGATATAGGCATCTTTTTATCCTCTAAAATCTGTTCGGATTTCCTAGCTGAAAATCTAGTGATCTGAAAATTATAGGGATCAAAACTTACCTTTTCGAAAATTTCAACCAGAAAAAAGGCTCCTGAAAATTCTAGGTGACCTTTTTAGGGTAAAAATCCGTTAAAAATGGGCAATTATACCATTTTTTAGATGTTCGAAAATCCTAGGAGAGGCGGGCAAGCAAGAAATTTTGCAACAAATGTTCCGAAAATTCTAGATCTCAAATCGTCTTCCAAACAGATATTTTCCGAAATTGACGTTGGGTGCCCCTGTTCCTTCTGTCCTCAAGGTGGCCTCTGCGCATCCTCGGAAACCCAGGGGCAGATAGTGGGGACGAGGGAAAGTCTAAACGGGCCGAAAAATATATATGGAAAGAAGCGAGAAGAGCCCCTGGGGACAATGTCTTACCAGACCAGTTCCAAACGGTCGCCGCCGTTCTGGCTTCTGATTGGTGCCAGAAAAACACATGGTAAGACATTGTCCCCAGGGGCTCTTCTCGCCCTTCTTTACTTTTCTTCGTTCCATATATATTTTTCCGCCCGTTTAGACTTTCCCTCGCCCCCTTTATCTGCCCCTGGGTCTCCGAGGATGGCCTCTGCGGAGAGGTTAAACTGTTTAATTTTCCTTCGTTAGGACGCAGCAGGGCTTTGAAAGATACACGTGTCGTTTTCCTCCTAACGAGAGCTCTTTGAAGCTGATTGGCGATGCTTGCAGCGCAACTGTAGTGTTGGACCTTGTTTACAAAAACGAAACAAAAAACGCCAGATACTTAGGAAAGAAAATTGTACGAAACATCCCCGTCAAAGGATGGAGAATATGTAAGAAGGAAACTGCTATGGATTACTGGTAAGTTCTCCATTATTTCTCTCTACTTTATTACAACATGCAACACAAGCCTAAGTAAAAAACATTATGACTGCGAGTAAAACTCTTTATCCCTTAGACAAGTAGATGCGTGAATCTGACATACAACTTTCTGGGATGGGTCACGTGTCAGGAGATTTCGAATTCGCGGACTCATTGAAAGTCTTTACACTAGAGCCTAAATAAGCTAAGAAATATTTCAAGACAAGTAAATTTTAATCACTTCAAGTAAAATAAAGCTTCACACACAACCGATTCTTTTTTACTTCAGGTTAACTTACGGCCATTTTCCCATGCAACATAATTAAGATTGATTGACATGTTTTGCCTTTCTCAAAGCTCACGAAACCGCAAGTCAGCTAAGTCGGTCATAAGGATGGTTTTCAAGTCGCTTGAAACTTTCTTGAATCGTTTCCGACTTTCCGACTTTAATGAGATGTAAAGTAAAGTCACTTGAGACTTTACTTAGGCCTTCACACACTAATCTTTGGCTAAGTAAAACTTAGCAGCTCTTAAGTCTTACTTAGTTAATCCAATGAAATTCATTGGCCCCATGTAAGGGAATCTAGATTTCGGAATCCGTGAAATTTTTGCTTGTGGAATCCGGAATCTTGGGCTTTGGAATCCAGAATACAACGCAAGGAATCCGGAATCCAAGTCCCACCGACAAAGGTTAAAATTCCACGGCTTGGAATCCAGAATTCAACACTCTTTTTGGATTCCCTTAAATCGGGTAGTTTTTTTTTATATAATTGAATTTCTGTTTTCCCTTTGTTTTTAATTCATAAACATACATTACCATACCCATAAACAAATGAAAAAATAAAAATTAACTGAAATAAAAAATTAACTGCAACATACTCACTCTCTGGACACGCGACCAAACCGGGATTTTTTCTTTTTTTCTTGTCTTTACTTGTTCATTTGCTTATTTTTTTTTTTCCACTGTGGATACTAGCCATTAAGTGCATATCTTTCTCATTCATTCTTCAGGTTCTCTGTTCGAGGCTGGGTGCACACATGTGGAGACACCCCGGTCCCGGTCGTTGTCGAAGCGCGGCCACAAAACGCAGCAGGACTGACCGGGGGGATCATTCATTCCTATACGTTCCTCGACTTTTACTACAATGAACCCGAATTTAAAGTTCCTAAGGAAATCTGGTGTTGGGGAGCAGCTCACCCCCCTCCTTTACCAAAGTTCCCAAGGAGATTTGACATCAACCTGGAATATATTAATTCTGAAGATGATCGTATTTGGGCGGTTCGGGTAAGTCTTTGGGGTGAAGCCAGGTAATTGAACCCAGGACTGTCTGAGGACTATCAAGACTTAAAACAAAACTGAATGCAAGGCTGGCAATACGGCAAAGGCTGATTTATTTAAGGCCAATATTTAAGATAGCATTATTTCGGCTGTTTCGTATTGCCAGCCTTTCATTCAGTGTTGTTTTAATCCTATTTCAAGTGACGTCTGGCATCAGCATCTCTACATTAGAGATCCGGCAAGAAAGAACCAGTCGGTTTTATTTATAAATTATGCGTTGAGTGGACCTCTGAATTCATTGGTGTTTATTAAAACTTAGTTGCATATAGCAGCAGTGGTACCCACCAAAATATCAGATTTTCCGGATGGCTCTAGAAGCAAAGACACGGTAAATACGTAAATACTGACCTATTTTGTCTATTTTCATACATCCTCTTATAAATTCAAAGTCTAACGGACTGCTACAGAGTCTGGGCCGCCTGTACTTTAACCAAGCCCGCTTGTCCATGACATGTTAAGTAAGAAACGAACGTGGATTCAGCTAACATGAACCTTATTTATCCTTACAGGAATACTATGATCTTGAAAAGCAGCTGTATAGAAAGGATTCGGAGTATCATCCCAAAGGATCTAGCTTGACTGGCATGGGATCGTACATAAGAAACAAAAATACAAAGGAAAGCATTTACTACAACAGAAAGACAGGTAAGAGAGACATAGTTATTGGAAGTCGTTAACGCTAGCATGACTGGCACCATCATCATCATCACCTGTGAACTGAACACTTATAATACTTGTTTATTACAGGTGGAAAAAATAACCGAATGAGTTGCTAGCTCAAAATTTTTCATCATCATCATCACCGTCATCATCGTTATCATCACTTCTCGAAAGTTCTGTTAATACAGTTTTCTTTCCATGAGGTTTTCATCGCATTATTTCGATTGCTATTTCACCATCCTCCCACCAACATCATCACAACATTAGCACCACGACCTTAATGATTGTTTTAATAATGATGCTGCCATCAGATCAAGCATAATCAGATTGAAATTAGTCCCTCCAGGGAGTCTAAGCCAAGATAGGTCGATTTATGATGATACATAGTTTAATTTTTCTCACCGAATTGATGAATTTAGTTTTTGCTGTTTGTTGATTAGTTGATGTCTGACCTAACGAAAAAATTTCTTTCAATTTCAGGCCGTTGCCAAAAGCAGAAATTACAAAACCCATATCCTGTACTGAAAGGAAGTCACCGCTACATGGTCTACGCACCCTTTGGTAAATTAGCACTATTCGAAGATCCTGACGCAAAGCCTTTATATCAGGGCAGGGCTGTCACTAGGGGAATCAATTGCGATGTCTGGGTACAGAGACGAATGAACTGGCCTTCTGACAATGTGACAGAAATGATATGGAGTTGGTATTTCACCCAAGCGGATTGGCGAGCAAATTACGAAACACAGCCGGTAAGCTAATTGTGACTCACGTCCTTTCACCCTGTCGCCCAGGGCTCCAGTATCCGGGAAATTTTTTGCTTGTGGATTCTGGAATTCTGGGCTTTGGAATCCGACATCCCTGGATATTCTTGAACTCTCGCTCACAGAAGAAAATGTATAAATTAAAGGGGGCACTTTGAGGGAGATTTGTGTTGGGGAGGCCTTATGGGTATGTCGAGGCTTTTCGCCTTTGGTAAGAGGACCAAGGAATCCTTTATCAGTATCATACTCTTTTCTTAGATGGGATAACAAGATCCATAAGGATGGGTCATTTGTCGATCCTTACTTCTCAAACTCATTAATAATTCATTAAGAAAATACAAAGGAAATTAATGTTTAATGAGTGTTTGGAAATCGGATGAAACACTGCTTAGTATTTGCATCCTTAATTTCTCCTTCAAAAATGATTTTGTTTGAGAAGAAATATCAAACATTCGACACAGTGTTTCATCACCAGATGAAACACCTCGAAGTTCGTCAAAAATACTCCGCTGCGCGTCGTATTTTCAACTCTCTTCTCGGTGTTTCATCTGGTGATGAAACACTGCATCTCATGTTTGATATATTACATGAAACACTCATGCTTGATATATTACGTGAGCATCTTTCCGAAAAGCAAGCTGAGTACCTCTCAGTTCTCATTTTAGTGCTCAAGAGAGGCTAATGGAACCATTTTTCTCTCATGTAGGGCTATATTCAAAGCTTCCTGACTTTAATTCGATTTCAGGTGCCAGTAAAACTAGGGATACGAGGCAATATCACTATAAACGCCACTGCGCATGTTGAAATGGAAACGGACATAAACTTCTACTCCTTCGAAAGTCGTTACCCTGCCGTAAGAGCTTTTGACGTATCATCCCTTTGCTCCCAGGAGCCGTCAGCAGCACCGCAGAAGAGCGGGTTATCTTCGGGCGCCGTCGCTGGAGTATCGATTGCATGTGTCTTTTTGGGTTTGTTGTTGGGAGCTGTGATTGTTTACTTTGTATTCAAGAAAGTGGTGTTAGCGAGAATGGGACCTTTACCCAAGCAATTTAAGTAGAATTGAAAGTGATCAGTATAAATTTGGGAGCAAAACGTTTGTCTTCGTTTAGTGCATTCATATAATCTACTTACAGATCATGAACAGCTAAACCTTTCTTTCTGATAATACATGTTGAATCTAACTACGTCAAATACTTTTTAATGAAATGAATAATTTCGTTTTTCCCACTCTTTACACGCTATTATTTTTTTAGAACCTTTATTTGTACAAGAACGTTAGAACGTTGAGGCTGAGAATAAACTTACACTAGACTACGAGTAGTCCCCATTTTTCCTCAGGGATAGTAAAGACAGCGAAACGCGAGCGCGCGTGAAAATCACCCCACACGAGAAAGCCGAGACGCCTTTCTTGCGTGGGGTTATTTGCACGTGAGCTCGCGTTTCGTTCGCTATACTATCCCTGAGGAAAAATTGGGACTACTTGTAGTCTAAACTTACATTGGTGGTGCGTCCGTGGAGTTGTCGTGAAACACAAAAATTTGCTTTTTATCAACCGAGTTGGTACAGTCTATCCACCACTTAGTAGCTTCGTTGTAAAAGGGGACTAGCGTTTAAAAAATCAGCATAGCAATCTGAGTGATTAAAGTGATGCGATCAAAGCGTCCAGCATTACAGATTGGTCTTATAAATGCAATCTTCACGCGTAGGAGTATTTGGCAGGCCGTTACGCTTGCCCAGGGGATTCGTTTCAAAAGCAGTAACCAAAAGCTAAGTATAATCAAAACCAACAGTTCCAGTTCTTCTTATGTTCTATAGGTTGAAAAGGAAGAAATGTGTTTGTCATCATCATCATTTTTGTGTCTATCAAACCTTACCAAGGGTTTTTACTTCGCTGCCTCGTGCAGTTGCACTATCACGGAAAAGCAAATAGTCTTTTAAAGTAGTAATCTTCATTGCGAGGAGTATCGTGGCCGTTCTTGCAACTAATTTGGTTTTGTCATTTTCTTTTTCTTCGTCTTCTCATGATCACTTACTGTAAGTGACATACTGGTGTTCGTGAAAAGTTCATGAATTTCTTGACCTCGTTTGTTGCTTTTCCAAGACCTCTGGCCATAAATCTTCTTTTTCTGTATTCGCCCGTAGATCTCTTCCTTGTGCTCTTACCGGACGCCAATAAACCCAGTATACTCCGTTTTCCTCCGGTAAACCCACCGAACGCGCGCGCCTTCTTTGAACGGGATTAAGGATTCTAATTTTTGCCAACATGTCCCTCGCCTCGTTCGTGTTATTTACTGTGGATAACAAACTTTCCTGACTTTCTACTGTAACTCCTTTGTTAAGACGAGAATTGCTCGCACCGCAACCCATGACAAAAGTAAAAAAACCAGGACGTCTACCTGGTTGTTCTGTTTTTTGGACGTTTTAATGAAGCCTAACGGTTTTTTGTTGTCCCCTCCTAGCAACTGAGAAAATATTTGTGTTCGTTGCCTCAAGAAACCACTTTTTCATGATCTGTTTAAAGGGTCTTACTCGAAATTAGGTTGTATTAGTAAACCACTCCATAAAAAAATCTTTTAACCATCCTCAAAACCACGCGGCAAACTTTTAGTTCCAGATAAATTAAAGTTGCATTGCCAAGACCTCTCCTTCTCTGCTTTTCTTTCATAAAATACTCTTTCGATTCTAAAATTCACATAACAATCACGATCTGCGCAAGCGCATCCGGTTACCTTGACAACCTCTAATAACCCAAGTGCGGGCATTCATGTTTATAGCAACAAAGGGTTTGTTTTTGATTTGGTTGCTACAACAAAACCACACCCTTATCACCTCAAGTTATGTAACCTTATTCTTACTTATTTTCAAGAAATAAATTTAGATCAAAATTCACGAAAGCTAATTTTTGCCACTCCAGAAAAATATTGAAAAAGTACTTTTTTGGCGAATTTGCGAGTGTGTTGATCTGGAAGATCTTGATAGGGACTATTTTGCAAGAGGGAAATGCCTAAAAATTAATTAAACAAAAATAAAGAACTTCAGTTTTGAAGGATACGAAATTCCAAAAAGGGATGCTGAAACGCTAAGAAACTCACCATCACTGCGTACAAAAACGGAAACTTAAACTGCAATACAGGACATCGACTGCACATGGGAACCAACCTTAGGCAAATTGGAAAAACACTTTTTGGGGGAGAAAGAGAGTATACCAAATTTTCAGTTTTCGTTAGCAAAATGCAGCAGGTATGAAATATGATGAAGTGAGGAAAATACTAACTATGGCAATTTTTAGTGTTTTTCTTTCAAACTAAATGTTGACCGATATTAAACCCTTATGTTAATATCTTGGAAAATAGGAAAAAAAGGCCGGAGAGAACACTGAGGATGAATGTCGAGAAATGACACCATGTTCTGCTGTGAATTGTAATTTCCTGTCGTAAATTGTAATAGCGATCGTCGTAAATTGTAATAACAGTTGTCGAGAATTATAATAACCAAGCTAGCCAAGACAGCCTCCCACGCAGGCGTTTTTAGGTGAGCTCCTAATACGAGCTCCCCTAAAAACGCCTGCGTGGGAGACTAGCCAAGACTTTGGTTGGAATTAATTCGATGGATTGAACTATTAGAGCTAATTTAAGTGCGAAGACGTGTAAGAGTTTTTGTGTAAAACAAAGCGTTCGTTCGTCTTGTGTATCATTTGGGTATTTTGCGCGACGCAATAATCAGCTGTAGTGAGTTTAATTCGGATTGTTCGAGAGGGTAAATACCACGCTGATTTATTCATCGGAAAAAGATACATCTAGTTAGTGAAATTTATTACTTAACTCGCAACTTCGTCCCCAGGGACTTCTCGCTTTCCAATATGGCGCCATATTGGAAAGCGGGAAGACCCTGGGGACGAGGTTGCTGAACTCGTACCTCAAAAAGTCAACAAAAAGAAGTAAACGGCTAGCATAGAGTTGAAATCGTATGGGAAGAAGAAACTCTTGCCACCCTGTCACGGTTGAGTGGCGGGGCCATTTCCGTGTTTCCCCGAGCCTCTGTTTCAAAGCAAGGCTAAGTGCAAAGCAGGTGATATGAAAATGATTTTTCAGTCTGATGAAGATGAATCTCATTATCACAAAAAGGTTTTGCTCTTAGCCTCGTTTTGAAAGTTACGGTGTTTGGAACTTGCGGGAAGTGGCCTATTCAGAAGCAATCGGGGGTGGGGGCGGGGGTTACTGCCATATATGGGCTATATAAGTATGTACCGCTGCCGTGAAGGGTATGGTTTTCAAGCAGTTTACTCTGGGATAGGGTTTATAAATCAGAGAGTTTGGGTCTAGAAGAGGGTATCATTTTCCATTTAAACTGATCAATTGGCTGAAGATTCTAGTCTAGACTAGGGAAACCGGGAAGGCCACTCAAGAATATAAAAAAACCAAATCGATTTTGTTTTGGCTGGACTGTGCTAGTGACCTCAGTTGTTTCTGGAAAACAGCTACTCTAGGATAAGGGGGGGGGGGGGGGG